ACTGGATATGGCACTTAGCGTTATGGTTTAGCTGACACAGTGGTGTTCGGTCAAAGGTTGGACTCAACCAATTCTGTGATTTTGTGATTCTGTGACTAGAAAGTAAAAAGGCAACTGGCTGAAGAGCACATCCTGGCAACTCAGATGATGAAGGCCACAACTTCTAGCATTAAAGATCCAGAGTTAGTTAAATAAGTACAGCACATTAGAGGAGCGTGTGAAGTCCTTGAAAAGGGCAGGAAGATCTGAAAACTTTGTTAAAAAAAATAGTCTGTTTTTCAAGCACGAAGAAACAGCAACACCACTTTCCAGGTTACTGAAAAGGAGCTAACGTCTTCAGTCAGATATTTACAATACAAAATAATTAACACAGCATTAACAAGTACTTGTTTTATGATAAAATGACACTTAATGACTCATAGGAGAAAACACCCATATTACATTCCAACAGAAATACCATGTAAGCAAGGATTTTATTAATCATTGCAATTAAATCATCTCAATGTACTTAATTAAATTAATTCATTCCATAAATTCAAACCAACTCTTAATCAAAACACAAAATTAGGAAACAAATAATAAATGTAAATAAGCCACTCACCTTTTCCCTTTCATAACAAATACATATACTTTCCCGTGTTTCACTGTCATTCCATAAGCCTTTTTTATAGTAATCTACAAAAATATTTGAACAAAAGATTCTTACAAAACCCATGCTATGTATAAACAAAGGCTCCATAAACAACAGATAAAAATACCACAAAATGGACTAATGTAGGTAAGTATCACTAGAAGTAAAGCTATCCAAATAAATATAATTTCAATATACCTTAACCTTTCTTCTTTGTCTATCATGCTGAACTTTTCATATTGAAACAATGTCAAATTGTGCAGCAGCAAACAGAAGTATAATCAAATACACACAATTTCTTGCAATGAGTCATTTACTGGATCTGGTCTTACACAGCCACAGACAATGTTATAAAGGAAGCAAAGCATGATGATAAGACTTTTCAGACAGAAGCCCTTTCCCTGTGCTGCAGCAGCTCTCAGGTGTCAGAGACAGTAAACCAACCAAACACCACTATAAGTAACTGCAAAATAAAGAAGGGATGAAATACAGGGAGTTTCTGAATGTATAAACAGGGATGTATGAAACAGGACTGGAATAATTGTATTATACACATACATAGCATCAGAGGGTACATCAGGGTGATACAGCAAGCCCTGTGACACACCTTACAGTGCTATATGCAAGCTGGCAGTGTCCTAAATGTATCCTGGGGTGACACAAGGGGTATATCAGCCCCTTCCAAGAATTTTGGTTTCTTTTGAACAAACACAGAATTGTGGTCTGCAGAAGAGATACTGTTCAGTACACTACATCTCCAAACTGGACAGCTGGAAGCCCAGAACTGTAAAGCACACCATCCAACTAAGATGTCACGGAAACACAACATCCATTCATGGTGATGATCCTTCAAAAGAAATGTTGGCAAACTGCAAAGTGTTAAGAAAAGAGCTGCTACCACGCCTTTTTATGAAAGACCAAGGAAAAATCAATTGTTTGGTTCAGCCACAAAAGCACTGGGATATGAAAGCATCTACAGATGGAGACTTCCTATTTAATTAGACCTTACTAATGAAGGCATGACTAACAAGGACATTACTTCAGTTGTAAGCTTGTGCAAGCACATTGCTTTCCATGGAATTCGTGAAATAATAGAAAAGACAGTATTGAACCAAATCCAGACTTACTGTCTTTGATTGAAAATTACAGTAAACAAAAAGCAATTGGAGGTAAACCTGACAGTGATTAAATTTGTATTAATCAGCTCACAAGTCTTCTAGTTCCCTAAAATTGTTCAAATGTATTTTTACAACAAAATAGTATATTACCAATTTCATAGTCTCAATAAATCTCTCTTCAAATTACTCAGAAATAAAAGAGAACATTAGAGCACCATAAGCTAAGTGAACAGGAACGTTCACATCACAATTCACAAGGCACTAACGCTAAAAGAGCTTTCAACCACTCGAGAGCATAAAGTTACAAAATAGATGAAAAGAAAATTTACACTGTAAACCAATCTCAAGTCTTTGATGAGGTAACTTTAATATGATTTTTGACTCGATCTTTTCATTAACTGAATGTAATGCTATCTAGAATAACATAATGCCAGCTTAGAGTTCACCTCATAAAATATTTCAAACATGCTTTAACTTACACGAAGTTTGAAAGAAGTTAATGTGATTTGGAAGGGTCTGGAATAAGCAGTCCTGATAACAATCCACTAGATCATTTGGGCAAACAGCAAAAGACCTGACTTTTCAGAAGTCCCAGGGTACTATCTGCTTAATAGTTGACATTCAGCTTCTATAAAAATCACATCCTTAACTTTTATATTTAATTCTTCTAGCCTGTAAATGGATACTCTAATACTGTTCTTCATACAGCTTTTGTGAGCCTGCACTTAATGTGAGCAAAGTGCTTTGAGATCTTTAGCACGAATAAAATATATTTTACACTTAGACGTTAATTATAGAAGTAGCAATATTTGAAATAGGATTTTGTTTCAAGGCAGCAAGACTAAATCAAACATGATTATCTTGGCTTTGATTGTGTTATTTTACTTACTATGCTCTATTTTTCCTTGCATTTGAAATATGTAATTTCGCTTTTCTGTTATGTAAATGAATGTTTTTCATCTAACATATCTATTTTTGGAAAAAGAATAATTTTCTTTCCTAGGCTAAGACAGAAACGTTGCAGAACACAATTCTGAAGTCTAACTGACAGAGTATCGCAAGGTCATTGCAAGCATTCAATAGCAAAAGCAGCAAGGGATGCCCAGAAGACTCACTGAACTTAGAACATTAGTATGTAAAGGTTTAATCTACACAGGTATCTATCTATATATATAAACAACACAATAATATTTAATACAGATTAACTAGTCCTTCTGTCCTTCAGTTAGGTGATCCCAACCAAAGCAGCTACAGTTACAAGTTGTGGCCTTTTTGAAAAGTAAAAAGAACTGGGATAAGGACAGGAAAAAACACTCGCATGCAAAAGAGGTCAAGCCACTGCCACCACGGACCTCTCTTTGAAATATTGTTTATTACTTCTGCAAAGTGTGTTGATTACACTGCTGTATGTGTTCTTAGATATCAGTGGCATTTAATGGACAACAATGTACTCGGGAAAATACATGTCATATTTATATATAATCCTATTAAAATAAACAGGGTTACTACCTGCAGATTACTTTGATTCTATAGTTTGTGTGATCAAATTACATTGCTTCAGTCTTCTTTTCTCTGAATTTCACATATTCCCATGCTGAGTAAAGAGAAAACGTAATATTTACATTTAAGTCATGGAGAAAAATTAGGAATCCAAAAATTGCCAGCATTAAAGAGAACTGAAGTTAGGGCTAGCTAACCAATTTAAAAAATTATGCCCCGTGATAAAAGATGACCCAATAAATCAAAGGAATAAAGCACCTGTTGAGAAGAAAACATTATCATTTCAAAGCAGTGCTGAAACACTGGTATTTACCCAGACAAATGAGGTTAAGAAGCATATTCTACTCATTCAAATCTTTAAATGAAAGTAAATGCCAACCTAAAGCTTGTTTTCAGCATTCTGTGATGCCTAAGAAATGTTGTCACTCACTCATTACACTCCCTCACAGGGATGTAATTTCCACCCCCACCTATCGTCATCACATCTGGTTTGGTATGCAATTTCACCAAAAAAACAGTCATGTAGGCACAAAATCACAACATCTTTTGAGAAATGCTTTAGTATGCAAGTTTGGGTAATTACACACACTATTAAGTACACCTTGAAATATAAACCACCATGGAATAATTGGGAGGAAAATCTTAGTCCAAAGCCTCAATAGAGCTATAGCTTATTATTAGTACACTGGGGTTTAAATCACTTCTCCAAACAGCAAAGCACAAGACATAACAGAAAACTTCACATCCCAAAGAGTCACAGATAATAAAGTTGGAAGAGAACGCAAACAGGTAATCTTTCTACCTACCCCAAGGCAAGGTCTGCAGCTTTATCACTTCAATCTGTGTTTGTGAAACAAACCTTAAATATCTGAAATGAGTGGGAGTTCACTGTCTACCTACTTCATGTATTCCAGTGTTGAAAAGTTTCCCCTAACACAGAACCTGAACCCAATCTATTACAGTGTGCCACCTTCCTCAGTACTGGAAAGTTTTTCAATCTAGCCAGACTTCTGATGCACTTAAAACAGTAAATACACTCTTCTCAGGAATACATAGCACCAGCAGAACAAAAGCACCAAGATGTGGTATTAGCTCCACTTAGCTCACTGAAAACAGACACTGAAAGAGGCTCACGGCACTGCATGTTACACATCTGGCTTCATGGAAAATACATAGGTTCGCACCTAAGTCTCTGCATGTTCAAAACCATACATGGTTCGAAGACAGTGGGGAAACTTTCTTCCCTGGCACCCAAGGACTGTTCTTTCTCTGATCACAGAATATTAAAAAATATAACTTTCCAGCTTTCCTCTGTTTTGAAAGTTAAGGGGGTGAAAAAAGGCAAAAAAAACTTTACGGCAGGTACTATACAGGCCATCTTGCACCAGCACCCACCGAGGCCAAGGCCAAGAGGGCTGATGCCATCTAGGCCACCAGATGCGAAACGCTACTTCTCAAAACAAACAACAACAACAAAAAAAAAAAAAAAAAAAAAAAAAAAAACCCCAACCACAAACACCAGCCAAGACACTTTCACAAGGCCCGGAACATGCCAACCACCGGCGGGCATCCCGTGCCAGCCCACCTCCCCTCCTGTCCTGGGCACATTCGCCCCCTCCGCCGCTCCACAGCCCTGGGGCTGCCACGTGCTGCCAGTGTCTCTCTCCCACCAGAGATTCCCGTGTCTCCACACGCTGCCGGCCGGCACAGCGGGCGAGGGGCCGCGCCCCCCTCGGCACCTCTGTACTCACCTTCACACACCTCGAACTCGGCTGCTCCATTGAGCTGGTAGAGGCACCAGTCAGCCGCGCTCTCGCCTGCGGGGCCGCCGGCTGGGCAGGAGGAAAGGCACAGTCAGTCGGGGCACCCAGAGCCGGCGGGGGGACTGGGCTTGAGGGAGGGAGAAGGGAAAGTGGGCGACGGGAGAGAGAGGCAGAGTGGGGAGGAGAGATGGAGGGAGCTGAGGAGGGAACAGAAGGATGAAAGGGGACAGAGAGTGCCGGGGGAGGGAGCGCGTTTCCAGATACCCTGCTTGTGGGACATGGGTGTTGCCCTCCGGAAGGCGCCCACTGCTCTGAACTGTTATTTGCTCTGCTCCCAACGCCCGTGGCTCGGGGCGCTTCCTCCTTCTCCCAGCGGAGCGGGCGCAGGCAGCCGCCACTGCCTCGGGGCGCTCAGGGAGCCGGGGGAGGGAGGACGGGAAGGAGGGAAGGCTCCGCCCGGAGCTCCCGGCGGAGGCGGCGCAGCCTCGCCAGGACCCGCCGCGCCCGGCACCGCCGCGGCTCCAACAGGTGTGAGCGGCCCCGGCCCCGGGTGGGATGCGACGTCCCAGCCTGGCCTCACCCCCGGCCAGGAGAATCCTCCCTACCCTCCGTCCAGGAGAACCCCTCCCTGCCCTCCGTACGGGAGAATTCCTTCGTGGCGTCCGTCCGGGACAACTCCTTCGTGGCGTCCGTCCGGGACAACTCCTCCGTGCCGTCTGTCCGGCTGCCGTTGTGAGCTCCCACCGGGTGCCGCACGTGCCCGCGCTGCGTCCCGGTGCGCCAGAAGCCTGGACACACATCCCTGGGGAAGACCACACACCAGCGGCCCTGCTGCTGCTCCCACCTCGCCACGCAAAGCACTGGTGGTTGAGTTGAATGTCCCACAACATTCAGCTCGGTTCGCTTACCAGCCCTAATCCGTGTCGGCTATCTTACGGATAAAGGCTACAAATACTGTGTAAATTGTTGGGGTTTATATACACCGAAATCACTGCAAGGCAGGAGAGTGGTTTTCATCTGGCCCGCGAGGCCCTGTGATTCTGCAAACTGTCTTTACAGCTTTCCTGAGAGGTTGGTAAGAAAGCAAACCTGTTACCAAGTAAGCCCAAGTGCTCTGTACAGTGACCTTTGCCTCCACTGGGAAATGGTTAGGGGAATGGCAAATTTTAAAACACTGAAATAGTCAGCTAGAGCTAAGTCATGTTAATAAACACCTTTATTCTTACACATGTCCACCCCAAAAACATGACAGGAGGGAAATGTAAAGGTGCATTAGTTGTTCTGTTAAGCAAGTGACTTTCTTGATACTTAAAAGAATTGTGACTGTTTAGCTTGTAGTTGGCAGCATCCTGCCAACATCGTCTGTCTTTTCAAGGTCACAGTGTCAGAAGCCCACATAGCACGGCTCATTACAAAGAGAGCAAACACACTTTGTATGGGCAAATGAGAAAAGCTTAAGAAAGACTATAATCAAGCCAGACTATGAGATTAGGAGCCAACAAGAGGATAAAATATCAATGTAGGCAGCTGTCATGGCATAGTTACACTGGCTCGTCCATCTACTTTTCGCTGTTTGTGAAATGGTATGGAAATGGCAAGGAAGAATTACTTTCGGCATAAATTCTACTTTACATACCTACATTTTCATCTGGCCCATCACCCATGTAGATCCACAAACCCTTTACAGCATCCCTGAGAGGTTAGTAAGAAAGCAAACCTGTTATCAAGTAAGGCTAAGTGCTCCGTGCAGTGACATTTGCTACGTTCATCCCTTTTTGCAGCAAATGGAGACCCTCCTGATACCTTTAGGTGTGTAAACTGTGGGCACTTTGGTTAATGTTTCCTCATAAAAGTATTCTGTTCAAATGTTTATGTTCTTCTCCACTGCATCCAAGACAGTGTCACACTGTGGCCTTTATGAAAGAGTAAGTAGGACAATTACAGTTTCTGAAGGAAATAGGCTTTAAATAGGTTTTAAATGGGAGTAACATTCTGCAAATATTTTCAGCTATTCTGGAAGGAAAGCAAACACCAACACTGAGAACCACCTAAATTACAAAGACCATAAAGCCTTCTGAGGAAAAAGAACATCAGTTGATTTAGACAGTGTGTGTATATATATCCCCAAGCCATATGTTTGCTGGATGTGCACTAGCATTCTTGGAACTGAAACAGTTTAAGCCAATGATTTGAGGGAAAATAGTGTCATGGAGCTGGATGAAAATAAAGCTTCATCCAGCTGCTTACAGTGATACTAACTGCCCCTAAAAATTACCTGTAGACCTTTATTACTTTTCATGACAAAGTATTATCACAAATAAAATTAATCTTAGCATTCCACTGTTAGCCTCTTCTTTTTGCAGAAAACTCTAGATTCTTATATTAATTAGCAATCAAGGGCCCTTTTCTGGGAGAATCCATTCATATTAAATTTTTATGAAATGTGGCAATTTTATGCTGTTCGGCTTAATATGACCAACTTACATGGCACTTTTCATTCTGGACTTCAATAATTTACCAACTTTATATGTTCAAAAAATCACTAAAATTGGCATGTAATGCAGCACATGTGGTTTTTTTCTTTGTAAAATGAGGAGATTGATACAAAATGCGTTTACAGTGTGTGATCAGTTTCTATAGGTATCTTGAATATTGAGAGGGGCTAATTTGCACCCAAGTGCCATCTAGTCCAGTAGGAATTAATCTTTTACTTTTATAAGTCTGTAGGTGGACACAAGCTATTTGTGATTGTTTCCTTCGGTCACAGAGAGATAACTGATTTAACTAGGATTGGAATCTAGTAATGCTAAATCCACAGACAAACTGAATGCGGGAGCAGTTACCACCCTTCATCTGACGTCCTTTACTTTTGCACTATTGGAAATGAGCTGAGAGTTTGGTATGATATTTTTTGTCATTTCAGGATTGTAAGGTTGTTAAAAGCATATAATTTACTCAAGTCAGAACTTAAGCAAGGTAGTTGATTTATACTATAGTGTGTTTTAAAGAATCAAAGTTTAAAAAATAGTTTAATCTATTTTGGCTTTCAATATCACAGTGATTTATTGGGCAGAAACAGGTGCAGCTGCAGAGAAAACTTCTGAGGAAACTGGACTACATTATACTATAACATTTTTAAATTTTGTGTTGGATTTGTTTTTCCTTTTCACTAGGACTTTATGCAGAGAGAAGGGTCTATTTGTTGCTAGCACCAATGAAACACATGATAATACCAATTTAAATGGGATCAGAAGGTCAACGACATAGAATTTAATCTTGCTACAACTTCAAAACTTCAAAGAAGCAGACAGTAAACCGTAATGAAATTGAAATAAAGAATTTGCATCAATTCAAAGGAATTTCCTAGATTTAAAAAAAATATATATGGATTTATAGATGTTCAAAATGCAGAACTTGGCCTCTCCCTGAGCAGTCCAGTGTTCCAAGAAAACCAGCTCCGGAATTTTCAGCGAGAGCCACCCAGGGGCTGCGGTTTCACCAGCCCTCCACCCCCGCTGTGGGGCTGTCACACGCCCGCAACGGAGCCACCCCCTCGGGCCCCAAAATCCTCCCGTTTGACAGGAAACTCCTGCCGCCTACTTTATTTATTTATTTATTTCTAGGCGGGGAGGCGGTGCCGCGGGACGCGGAAGTGCGGCGGGAGCGCCGCGGCCGCCATGGCTCCCGAGCGCATCCCGCTCCTGCTCCCGCTCCTCATCCTCGCCCTCCTCCCGCGGGCCGGCGGCCGGAGCGACCTGCGGGCCTTCGTGGTCGCCCACAGCCACATGGACGTCGGCTGGATTTACACGGTGCAGGTCGGCCCGGGTTGAGAAGGCGGTGGGGTGGGTTTGCAGCGGCTGGGGCTGAGCCTCCCTGGGCGTCCTCGGGCAAGCAGAGCTGCCCGGACCGTGTAACGCGGGCCGCGGGCTCTGCCTGTTCCTGGAAAACACCCTGCGGAGAAACGCCTAAATCCCTGTAATGTGCAGCTCCCGCCCCGAGTGTGGCCTGGAGCGTGCTCCATGCCCTGGTGTTTCGAGATCCTCCTTTGGAGGTTGTTCTAGGAGCCATGCCCTTGAATTCTGGGTTTGTCTGTGCCCGCGTTCTGCAGAATCCTGATGGATTTTTTTTTTTTAAGGGAAATCGTCAGTCTGTTTCATGGTACTTTGATTATTTGGTAGGTTTTCACGGTGCTTAGGTGGTAGAATCACCATCCCTGGAGGTGTTTAAGAAGAGACTGAATGTGGCACTTAATGCCATGGTGTAGTAGACGAGGTGGTGTTGGGTCAAAGGTTGGATTCAATGGTCTCAGAGGTCTTTTCCAACCTAACTGATTTTGTGATTCTATGATCTTGTTATTAAGCCAAAACCCCGGGAAAACTTTGTCTTTTCTTGAGCAAGGAGAACAGGATGCCAGGTCCTCTATAGATGGTGTGGGTTGGAGCCTGGTGCCGCTGAAGTGTAGCAGCAAACTTAATTTTTGCTAAATACATGACATGCAGAGCAAAATAAACCAGGTGGGGCATTGGTACCTTTGATATTTGTTAGTCAAAATCCTAAATCCTGAATCCTTTTTCATTAGTAGAATTTCTTTCATTTATGTGTGGAAGATGGAATACTTCACTCACTAGAGGGAAATGGCAAGAGGCCTGACTAATAAAAAAGAGGTGATGGCTCACCCAGGAATCTCTGCTGTGCATGTATTCTGTCTCCCCTTTTTAGGAAAGATTAGTGAATTTCTCCTTTAATATTTCAAACTCCTACTCAGAAATTGCATCACAGAATACAAAACTAATTTTTATTTTGTATTGGTTAGTGGTCAAAGATGTCCAAAAGAAATGAAACACATATAATTTTTACTTTACTACTTTTTTACAAGATGCATTTGCTTGAAGGCTCTGCTGTTAAATCTAAAGCTGTTAAATCCTCTGCTGTTAAATCTAAAGCATCAGCAATTCCTGTAGTGAAAAACCACAGAGGTTACCTGTAGATCATTTCAAATCCTTCTGTAGTAAATTGAAACTTGAAGTTAACTCTGTAATACGAACGTGATCCCAGCCTATTTAGTGGTTTTGGTTTGCATGTTGTCACTCATGACTGACAGCATACTGGTTTTTTTAGTGTTTTATTTTTCCATTTATAATGTGAAATATAAGCATTTTATTTATGATATTGGAACAGGAATCTTCACTGTGTGCTGGAAGTTATAGTACTGATGGAGAATTCCGGCATTGGATGTATAATAAAACTTTTTATTTTCCTCTCAAAGAAAGCTATCTGTTGCAATCAAGTAATAACAGTGGTACCATAATTTACGTGACATGTGGCAACTCATTAATGGGTCTTAACCATATGGGTGAAAGACACCTCACCATTGTCTAGAATGCAGTACAAAACAATTTTTGCCTCTTGGTATAAGTTTAAAATCTGTATTTAAATAAGTAAAATCTGGGTCACAGCTAGTATCTGATGAGTATCTCATTAGCTGATAGAGGATATGAATTGGAAACAAAATTTTTATTGCTGCTTGCAAGTATCCTGATTTGTGAGAACAATTATTTTCAGTTACCACCCAGGCAACTGGAGTTTGTGAACTTTGTAGGATTGGGTAATATCTTACTGCTTAGTTCCAGTGTAGTTTGAGTCATAGTAAAGACTGACTAGCTTTAATCTCCAAAATACCTCAAGAAAAT